ACATGGAACTGTATTCTTCAGAAGTAAGACTCTGAAAAGATTTTCAGCTTACAATCACATCTACCTTCAAAAACGTCAATATTTTTTAAGAAGATATAAGAGCAATATTTCCTTTTCCTTTTTTTTTTTTAATGAACTGAGTCTTGAACTGAATGAAATAATTAAAGATAACAATGGAAATAGGGGAAAACAGAATTTTATCTCCAGAGTTCACACAGCATTTCCCAAGCCTCAGAGGAACTATTTAAATCTTGTTTATAAGAGAAAAAGAATCAAAATGGTAATAAATGTCATATGGCTTTCATATAAGATCTGAAATTTCTTCAGGTGTTGTGCAAAAAATACCACAACAGGAGGCTTTTTGGGGGAAAAAAAAAAAAAATTGAATTAAAGAAACCTAAGTTAGTGACATGGAAAAAAAATGAAGTCAGTTATAAATTCATATGATCTTATGGGCTTATCACAAAATGATAGTCAAGCTTCTGCTCCAGATGGTGCAATAGTGTTTGTGACATCCACTTTGAACTGCAATCTAGTTATGTGTCAAGCAGGAGAGTCCATTATTCACTGCATCAGTGCTGGGGAAAGAAGGTTAAAAGTTCAAGACATGCCCCAAGTGATTAAAGTTGTAAAAATCAGGAGATATACCATGGGGAAAAAAATGCCACTCTTCCTTTTCTTCCATGCTCAGTTTGTTCCCAAAAAATGTGTTTGAGGAAAACAAACAAAACAAAAAACCAAACAAAAAACACACACAAAAAACAAACACAAGAAAAAAACCACAAACAACCCACAGGATGCAGGAATGCCCTGATTTTCTATAGTAAAGTAGACTCCTTGGACTCAGACCCCCCTGCTATCAGCTTCACTTTTCCTAGAGATAAATATAAAGGCTTCTGTTAAAATCTGCCCACAGGTTACAGGACTTGAGAACTCAGTTAACACTATTTCTCACTTGTTAGGACATTCACTTCAACGATTACATACTTGTAGCTAACTCAGATTTCAAACTTTATTTTCCAAGTACTGTCCAGGTCAGCAGTCCATCTGCACTAGTCAGGATTCACTTCTCATCATGTAAGCCTTTGCTCTGCTAACCAGGAACATAACTTACAGATTGCTTCCAAACACCCCAAAAGCTTCTGTATTTGGAACTGGAAGTATTGCTCTCAAATACTTGAGCAAGTTTAGGTTTCTAGTCCAATACAAAAGGAAAGAAGAAGATGCAAAGCCTGAGGGGTGAAGCTAAAAAAATTTGCATTAAAAAAACCCTCCTGCAAAATTCTTTATAGTGAGAGTAATGGATGGATTTTTTCACAAAAAAAAGAAACAAAGGTGCTTTAATGCTCAGAACCTTTGAAGCATCAAAGGTATGAAGTAATTCTTTTCAGAAAGTTATCTTCTTTCAAGAGACAGGTAGCAAACAGTAATTCCATTCTAATACATTTTCTGTCTGCTGTTTGAACTACAGGTTCAAACTAGAACATCGAGAAAGCCACTCTGACCGTGAAAAGTGATGACAAACAAGAATAAACTCTGCTAATTTATGTAAAAGTAAGTTTTGCTTTATTAGTAATTATCTAGCCTCAGAACTAGAAAACTGAAGTACATGTTCTCACTTTTCTAACTCTGTTCATCTGCAAGTTTGTTTGTTGGTTTGTATAAATTGCAAATGTGTTATGGTCATGTTGCTACATCCTCTTTGAAATTGTCAGTACCTCATATGCAGGAACTGATGTATGAGCGCACACTTTCATGTTGTAGAAAATATTTAATATGTATTTCACAGAGACTGATAACGTTCAGACTCTGGATATATTTGTGTGGTAACATTTCAGGGTATGATATTGACAACGTACACAGAAAAATCTCTGTAATCCATCATGTCACAGTCCTTGAACTAGGTAGGTTTTAATAATGCCTTAAAGCACATAACAGTTACTTCAAAATGCATGAAATCATGTAGCAAATTCCTGATACCCAAGAAGAAGCCCAGCATTCATGTGCACTACATTAAAAAAATGTAAACACCGCAAAACCCATTTGTATCACAGAAATTTGAGGGCAATTCTGCAAGCTCAAAAACTTGTCTTTAAATAGCGTATGTTCCAAATCACCTTTAGAGTGATAAATCAAAGCCTCTGAGCTCACACTGCACTTCAGCAGGCTCCTCTGGAGAAGGCCAGGCTCACCCTCACACAGCAGGAGCTGAACAGACCCACAGGAAGAATCCTCAAGCTTTAGAAAGAAATTAGTACTAAAACCCACTCAGCTTGAAGGAACCACTGGAGCAGAGGATGATTACTCAAGGCAAATGAACTCTCATATGAGTACTCTGGAAATTAAAATAATAGTGGGGGGAGGGGGGAACAAGGGAAGATTTGAATAATTATTAGAAATTTCCAATTATGCAGTTGATATATTACTTAAGTTCTTCTAAGTTTTTTATCTAGACTCAAAGTCCAGTCTAAATGAGTTCAGCCACGTCCAAGGACAGAATCTGTTGTTTACTCTTACACGCATATTTAGCTCTGTTACTGGAGTCTATTCTTTACAGAACATAAAATATTAAAAATTAAAAGAAATACTACAGAAGCATTTTAGGTATAAAAAGAAAAAAAATTAAAATTTCTTTTTTATTTAAGAAATGAAAATGCCTCAAAAGCAGTACTGCACCTGTAGTTGTATCACCAAGCTAAAAAGACAATCCTGATTTTATTGGAAATTTGCAGTTTTTATGTCCTCAGAGTTGACTTCAAAGAAGACCCTGTCAGTGGGGTTTTCTTCTGTGAAATCCTACAAGAACAGAAATGGCAGCGAGACCATGATTTAAGGGTCAAGTTTATATCTTTAAAGCAGCATTTTAGAACAGCAAAAGGCAAATCCTTCACGTGACGCTTAAGCATGCCATGTTGTACTTGGGCGTAGAGCACGCCAGATTAGCATCACATATTCATATACTCAAAGGAGATACATGTGACAAAACGAATGCACACAGTACAGTATCATAAATGAGAAAAAGCTGATCCTAGTTTAATTTTTGGCATAAGAGTTATAAAAAAGGTAAGAGGTGAAAAAAAATTATGTACAGTTGCTCTCAAAGGAAACACGAGACCCATTTATCTGTGCATCCAAAATACTATGCAATCTAAAAGACCTGGGGGAAAATCTATTGAGAAGACATCAAAATACAGTGTTACTGAACACCCCTAGGAATGTTATGATTGCAATCTTATGCATTTTTGTACATTTTTAATGTACATGTTAATATAAGTGAAGCATCTTCATTTTTCAAAGGCCAGAGTTACACCAATCACAGGCTTTTCCTCACTGTGTCTGTTTCTTGGCTCTTGCTACATATACTTTGATTAGAGAGTTTTTAATTACACTTTAGCCTGTTAGCACCATAGGGCCAATAAAACTAAGAGAAATACATCTAAATTCTTTTCATTCAACACTACTAGTAACTAAACACCAATTAATTACACCCACACAAGCCTAATGAAGATAATGGGGTTGCAGAGAGTTCACTGATGGTATGAAGTGGCTTGCAGTATCCTAACCTTAATCAGTTAACTACTTCGTAATAGGGAGGATCACAGGATAAGCCATCCTCTTTCTACATTCTTACAATTACTGTTAATGGAAATTACATGGCCATACCGATAATTCATGTAGCATTCACTTGACCATGAACCAAAAATGATAAATACTTGGGGGAATCCCTAATAGTATTTCAATCAGCTTATTAAAAAACAGGAAGTCGAGGTTATTAAATAACCTGAGTATCAATCTGCTTCAGCTCACTGCTTTGCTAAAGGCAAAGCTGGCAAGTTTCTTTTCTTCCAGGGATGGGGCATCCACAGCTTTTCTGGGTAACCCATGCCAGTGCCTCACCACCCTCACAATAAAGAATTTCTTCCTCATATCTAATCTAAATCTACCCTCTTTTAGTTCAAAGCCTTTGTCCAATTGCTAGATGCACTTGTACCTCTCTGTCATTCTTGGGGGGCCCCCTTTAGGTATTGAAGGGACTCCAAGGTTTCCCTGGAGTCTTCTTTTCTCCAGGCTGAAAAACTCCAGCTCTCTCAGCCTGTCTCCATAGCAGAAGCACTCCAGCCCTCTGAGTGTCTTCATTGCCCTCTTCTGAACCCCTTTCAAGAAGGCCCACATCCTTCTCATGGTGAGGCCCCCAGACCTGGATGCAGTGGTTCAGGTAGGAACTCACAAAAACGGAGTTAAGGGGGAGAATCACCTCCCTCGACCTGCTGGTCCCGTTTATTTTGGTGCAGCCTGGGATATGGTTGGCTTTCTGGGCCGGGCGTGCACATTGCCAGCTCGTCTTGAACTTCTCATCCAGCAACACCCCAAGGTCTTCTCCTCGGGGCTGCTCTCAATCCATCCCCGCCCAGCCTGTACTTGTGCTTGGGACCGCCCCAACCCAGATGCAGGGCCTTGCACTTGGCCTTGTGGAACTTCATGAGGTTGGTCCATCTCTGAAGTCTGTCCAGGTCTTTCTGGATGTCCTCCTTCCCACCAGTGTGTTGATTGCTCCACACAGCTTGGTGTCATGAGCAAACTTGCCGAGGGAGCCTCAGTGCCACTGCACCTGTCACCAACAAAGATGTTAAACAGCACCGGTCCCTGCACCGACCCCCGAGGATGCCGCTCATCTTTGGTCTCCACTTGGGCATTGAGCTGTTGACCACAACCCTTCCAGTGTGACCATCCAGCCAATTCCTTACCCACCAAGAGGTCCATCCCTCCGGTGGTCCATCGCCCTCGGCACCGCACGGTGTCGAGGAACCAAAGCGGACCGAGGCGAACCAAAGGCCGGCCCCGCCGGGTCGGGGCGGGCTGTTCCTGGGCGGCTCAGGGGGGAGCAGAGCGCTCGGGACGCGGGGCCGGGCACGGCGCGCTGAGGGAGCGGCGGGGAGGGAGGGAAGGGGAAGGGGAAGGCAGCGGCGCTGCCCGGCGCGTTGCCCGGCACCGGCGGCGGCCCCGCCATGGAGGAGGCCAGGCGGCGGCGGCGGGAGGCGGCCGAGTACTACCGAGGGCAGCGAGTGCCGGAGCGCATGGAGGAGGCGCTGAACGCCCTGTTCCCGCTGCGCCCCGGGGACCTCTACGGGGAGCTGGTACCGCGGGGACGGGAGCGCCTGGAGGAGGCCGGGGGGGTGTCCCGGCCCCGCGTCAGGGCCAGAGGGGGCTGCCCGCCGTGCCCGAGCCCTGCCCGC